GATTGTAACTATGTATTTCAATCACTCCCCCCCCCCCTTATTCTAAAATTGGACGCATGAGACGAACCTGTAATAAAGTGAGAAAACCTGTAATAAAGTGAGAACAGAGCATTTGCTACATGGTGATGATTGCCCCCCTAATATTGCGTTTTTCTGTTTTTCGTCGATGTAAAAGCTTTAAATGATATCACTAGACGGAAATCTGGTTTCCGATTCTAGTATGAGCTGCTTGAGAATGTATGAAAAGGGTATATTTTTCTCTTAACTTTAAATGTCAGTCCCTTAAATAATGTAGTTTGTTTGATAATAAATAAAAATAAAATACTTTTACAAATTATTGAAAATCTTTAAAGTTACGTATCTGGGAATTATTTCCGATAATGAAAAACTGTTTTAAATTTAAAATATCAAGAAAAAAACATTAAATTTTATAAGTAATTTAATTTTACTACGTTTGTTGGCCTTGACCTTATTCAGATAGAGCAACAATAAAAACTTTAGAAGTCACCCTCCTCTAAATTCATTCTCATTGTTCGTGTCGGCAGAAATTTAACATTTCTATTAAAATTAGTGCTACTATCTGCAACATAAAAAAAAATCACGCATGTCAATTTCTCAGAGTCATATAAAAAGCAATTTTTTAAACAAGAAAAATCTGAGCAATCGGAATTTAAAGAAATTCAGAAAAAGTAATAAGAAGAAGGCCTCTAATATTTTTTCTTTAAAATTAAGAATCGATATTAGTAATTATTATTATGTTTATTTTGATAATAGAAAATTTACATATGACCGATGTAAATTTTTAGGGATAGGCCAAACTCATAAACATGGCGGCATAAGTATATATAAAAAAAAAAAAAACTAAAATGTTAATCTGCATCATTTAGATTAGGTCTCCAAATATGGGATAGTACTGAATCAGATTAGGTACGTAAGTTCTAATTGCTATAATTCTGAACTACGGTTACTTATGGACAATATTATGACAGAAAAAGAATGTATAAAACAAAGTATTCACTCGCATTTAGCTAAAAATAATACACTACGTTGAGAAACTGATAAGCTCTGCAAAAGAAATTGGTTCAAAAACCATATATGCTCGCACTACATCCAATAGAATACTTCTATTTTCCTAATACACAGATAGAATTTTCTTTCCAAATTTACAATAAAATAACCGGCAGCAGTCTGTCCATGCAATTAACTGTAAAGTTTACGGTTAGGAAAATTTCATTACTTTTACTGTTAGAAACCGTTTACAATTGGTATGCTTAAAATACCGTGAATACAAAACTATACAGCTTTGTAACCATTTAAAGCTAGAATGGTTTCAAAATCGTAAAAATGAACTTTAACTAGACACAAGAGTTATGTTATGGTAGGCTTTTTATTTGGTATAAAGTTATATAGTGGGTTAAGTTGCGGTTTTATCTTGTGAATCGGACATTGAAGTTTAATTAGTTTGTCTAGTGATGCCATCTATCTTGAGAGATGGGAAATATTGGACCTTTTGCGTTAAGATGCTCTATGGTGCTGCCATCTATGCGTAAATGATAGTTTTGTATTCAATTGTCCTGGGTCACAGGTTGAGGAGTGCTGGACCCTAGAAACTTCACATTTGTTGCAGAAATGAAGGAAATATTGTGGGGTCAACAGTGGGATTTGAACTCCCATTAAGCTGGTCGTAATATTGACAGATTAGTCCTCGTAGCTAGCTGTAAGTTACTAAATGGTGTCATAAGGCTTTCTCTACACACTTATTTGTATTCGATTATAAGGCATCCACAGTTGTATTAAACATCCGATGATAAAAATAAAAATATGAATTCGTTATCTTTATCTCGTTGGCTGTGCTGTGGGTCTAGTTGTCGCGGGTAAAATTCTGATTGTTTAACTGCGTTAAGTGTAAACAGTCAATAAACGATTTTTCTCATTATTAAGAGTTTGAATACCATCTTTTATCGTATTTAACTTTCTTAGATGAGTATGGTAAAATAGCAATATAATAAAATAACAATATAATAAATTGTTATTTAACCAATTTTTAGTGTCTTTAAAATTTTTGTCTACGTTTGCCGTCCTTTTTCGGCTACAATGACGTGTTGCATATTAAGCCACTTACAAGTCATTAGCTGACTTCAAGAAAATATATTAAATTGAATAAACCATTTACTATTTATATTTTGCCATAAATTATTGAAATTTTATCTTTAAGGCATTCGTCGTATTTTAAATAAATAAATAAATGTGTCCATTACAAAACATTTAAAAATATTTTAATAACTCTAACTTCTCTCAAAAAATGCATAGAAAAAAAGCATTTAAGCACAATTTTTTAAAACAAAACATTAGGTATTCAGAAATGCAGATGAGTGTCGAAACCATTATTATCAAGTTTTGCGCTATATTTGACACCCAGATATTATCATTAAGAGAAAAAAGAACTTGAAATAAGCTCATGAGGTTATCCTTTAAGAAAAAGAGTTGCAAAATGACAGGGTGGAATCATAATAAGAACTAATTAGAGACACTATTTGGGCAGTTCTCAAAAAGAAGAAGTCTAAAAAAGCTCTGACAACAATTAAGTTTCAATCTAATTCACAGTCAAAATTTCAACCATTTAAAAATCGAATTAAGAGAAGATTATTCAAATAACTTTGAGAAGTACATTTCTAAAAAGTATCTAGAAACAATGTGCTTATAACTTACAAAAGTGCTTTTTAACGGTGTAATATTTTCGGAACATTGACCGGAGCTTTTGGTGGTAGAAGCTTCTTTTACTCGCAGTAGTAACGATTGCTTAAGAGGCGTTCCAAAACATATCTTCGTATCCAATTATATATATCCAATTAGGAGCTCAAGTAGCAGCTAATATTATATAACCGCCGTTTAAAAATCTATCCAATTTTGGGTTTACGACTATTATAATGTTCAACTCCGTAGTCTTGTAATTTTGAACCCAATCAAGAAGACAAGGAAACTGTTGGATCAAGTATTGGGAGAAATTTTCCTTCGTGGAGGACCTTTTGATGGAATTAACACGCCTTTGAGTGAGACGGAGTGGAAAACCACGAATTCCTCCCACGGTTAGCCTAACAGCAAGGGGACTCTAACAGATGATCCTTCTACCCCTGAGGATATTTTACGTTAGCACTGTGGTCGGTGCAAACCGGGTGCGAAATTCGTATTGACCAACTGTCGCTGGGATTCGAACGCTCTATCCCCTGAGCAACCACGGCTCAGCACCTAATATTAGATAACATCACATAACCATAAATCAAACGTTATTTTGCACAAATATAAAATATTAGGAAGATATAAAAGGTCTCTGTTTTCTTTGCATTATATAACGTTTGATTTCATTCAAAATAATATTATCTAGCTTTCGTCGTATTATTATTTCGTAACTTCTTTTTACAAAACATGTTACTGACATGTTTTTTCAACTTTACATTTATAAAAAATATATTTTCAGAAAATATTCAGGACCTTTCACAGGAAACTTTGAAACAAAATCTCTTTATAAAAAAGAACATAATAAATAGGGAATTTTATGAAGAAAAAAAAATGCTTGAACTTTTAAGATCTTGAGCTAAATTTCAAATGTATAGGTGAATTAAAGGAATTTTTTACAATGTTTACCTTAAAAATATGATAAAAATGAAGCAAAAAACAAAAAATTATACTTCTTCTCTCAAGTTTTAATAAATAATTTAAAATTAGAGTAATAAACATAATGTTGATAGTATAGGTACTTACAAGCAAGAGTTATTGTTTAATCTCATCATTAAAGAAAAATTTATTCCGATATTATATTGTTACATTTTGATGTAACTAAACAAATACCAATTTTTTGTTTACAAATCTATTTATAAAAGCAATGACTTTTATCATCATCATATTAGGGAGAAGAAAACAAGGAACAAATCAAAGACTGAAAATATGATAAAAATGTAAAGAGTGAAACGAATTAATGTATAAACACAACTTATTCCAATTTTTTATCAAAATTACAATCAAACAATTGTAAAGGTTTTTGATTTTTACGTGTGAAAAAATTTTTTTGTTACGGATCTCACGAAATATAAAAAATCTATTACTACCCGATCTATTAATGCCCGGTGGCTGAGCGGTAGCGCTTCGCGCTGTCGTGCCACAGGTCCTTGGTNATCATTGCTTCTATCATCATCATATTAGGGAGAAGAAAACAAGGAACAAATCAAAGACTGAAAATATTATTAAAATGTAAAGAGTGAAACGAATTAATGTATAAACACAATTTATTCCTATTTTTTATCAAAATTACAATCAAACAATTGTAAAGGTTCTTGATTTTTACGTGTGAAAAAAATTTTTTGTTACGGATCTCACGAAATATAAAAAATCTATAACTACCCGATAAATTACAAAAAACAAGATTTTAAATACATCCAACTGTTTTTTTGACACTTCATATGTTCTACTATAAAAAGTTTTAGTACTTTTAGCACCAAATAGCACCAAAATCCTGTGCACAATCAAATGAAGAACATAATTGTAAGACATAAAAAATAGCAACCACTGACATGGCAGCTTCATCAGATAGCCATTACCACGCAGTCAGAGCAGGAACAGTTTTTGGCTGGTGGCAAAACATCACAGACAGCCCTCGACTGCCTCCAGAAAAAAAGAAATCAGACAGTTTATATACTGAAAATTAAAGTAGAATTCTACATATTGGACTTAAGAGAAACTCGATCTTTAAGATTAATGTCTCGTTTCGAGTATTGAATTAGTTTATAAATCCACTCACAGAAAGAGAGAAAGGAAGGAAAAATTGAAGGAAAAAGAGAAAAATTGAAAGAAATAAACTTCCCTATTTAAATATAGACAGGCACTCAATAATGTTTCAAGCCGAACTTTTTCATCCTAGCATATAAGTTATGTGTGTGTGCTTCCAATCTAAAATGTAATGAGATTAATTAATTGTATTTTAATGTATAAATGTTTTTCTTTTGCAGATGAAAAGAAAGACGATGTTGAATGCTGTAAATATCCCCCAGAGCATCAGCATCCTAACTGCATGACTATACGAATACCAACTGATGACCCTTTTTACAAATATTTTAAAAGACAATGTTTGGATTTTGCTCGAATCTATCCAGGACCAAAACCAGGATGCAAGTTAGGTATATCATTTACATTAATATGTGCGGAAAATAATCATAAAACTTCTTCTTTAATAATAAAACATTTATTTTCGTTTCGTTGATAGCAGCAATTATTTCTAAGTTCTTAAATATCCAATATGAGTAGCAGAAAATAAAAGCTTCTTCTTATAATAAGTATTTCCTCATAATAGAAATTATGCTTTTAAAATTTGCTGTTACTCAAAATTTTTCATTGAGGGTTCAAAATTTAAGTGAAAATGCTATGCAATGTGGATACATAATCATTCTCAAAAACTATAAGTGACAGCAGTATGAAATTTCGAATATATGTATTTTAGATATATTGTTATAAATTATTGTTATAAATTATTTTTATGACATCACTTTTTAATTTAATATGTGTTAATGACAGAATTAACTATAAATATTTTTATTCAAAATAAAATTTAAGAAAGGTATCGATGAATCATATTTTCAGTTATTCTAAAATAGGAAAAGCAATTTTTTTATAGTTTCTAAATTTCAAATACCTCATTGGAAATTTAAGAAATTTTTTTGTATATTGATAAAACAAAATGAAAAGGCATCTAATTTCAAGTGTGCAACTACTTTGTATAGGGTGATTCAGTTAGACATTGGCAGCAGATCATCGTCTGGATTAAAAATTTTCATGAAATAATGCCTTTAGTAGCGTTTCCTATTATGAACAAAATGTTTTTGCGCTTTTGAATCGGTACTTTTATTTATTTAAATAATTATTTTTTATGTTTGCTAATAATTAATGTCCATTCAAATAGGGACAGAAATAACTATTTTATCTTAATTTGCTGATTTGACATATAACTTGCAGAAATCAACAATTTGGTTCCAAATCAGTATATCATTTTGAGCATCTTACTTTCATATCGTCGCAAAAAAATAATGCATACTTTATTGAACAGTGAACAATGTAAAAACAGTGTCAATCTTTTAAATTGTATATGAAGATTTGAAGGCGATGCAGATTCAACTTTAAAAAAATTTATTACTATGTGCTTTGATTGGCAACTTGTTGAGGTTTGTTCTATATTTAAAGACAGCGTCATCTGTTGCTAAAAAGTTCTTTTCGTTACAGTTTTCAAAAACTCGAATTCATTAATATATCTTAAACTTACATTTTGAATCATTAAGGTTAGTACTTAGTTCGTTAAAATTCGGTTATAAAATATAGCTATTATAAGAAAAAAATTATTCAGGGTAATATATTTTTTGGTTCACTGTACTTATGCCTATTTCTGAATCATAACTGATGTTTATTTATTAATATTTTTATCGCATTAGGACCTCGCTTTCAAATTAACACCATATCGGCTTACTTGGATGGCAGTTTTATTTATGGAAGTACCCAAGATATTGCTAGCAGATTACGGGAGTTTCATGGAGGTAACAGAGTTATTTACAGAGATATTTATGACATCATTCTTTCATGCAAAAATGACAACATTTTTGATTTTCACAACCAAATGTTGAATGCTTTAAAAAAATATATTTTATAACAAACAGGTCGACTGAAGACAAACCAAATGTATGCTGAACTAGGACTGAAAGATCTGCTTCCTCAAAAAATGGTAGAAAAAGATGTTGGGTGCTTAGCAAGACCAAGAAATGTTTACTGTTTCGATGCTGGTTAGTTTAATAACTGTATTTAAAGTCCTAATTGCATTAGGACTTTAATTGCTAATTTAGCAACTATATTAAATATTCCAATGCTGTATCCCTCTTACGAGACAATTCAAACAGATTTCAAAAACTGCCTACCATATGTTACAATAATTTTAGCGACACTTTATCAGAATAAAAAATAGTAATTTAATTTTGATCAATTAAATTTATCTTGAGTTCTAATATTTCAGGCTGGGTACTAAAGTTTTCGTGATAAGTCAAAGAATTAAATGTAAATCAAAGGTTTTAGAGTGTATCTTACGGAATTTCAGTAAAATTCAAATGCAGTACAAAAATTTATTTATTTCAAGCAAAAGTTTCAACGAAATAAAAAGTTAAATTGTCGATACCTTGTCTGTGAAAATGATGGTTTTTTATCTGGATATTTTTCACTTATCAATGTGGAATAGCATCACCTTTTTCCACAAGATCATTCATATTAAAACTTCATTAATCATTACTTCTTTAACACAAAAACTGTTTCTTTAAAGAAATTATTTTCAAATCAACTATGTGTTGAATTTTGAAATCAGCTATTTTGATATCAACTATGTGTAAATTGGTGAACTTTTTTACTCTGAACATAGTTCAAATTTGTGTTTTAGGAAATGGACATAACTATTTAAGAAAGAAAATAGACATGGCATAGATTAACACACTGTTTCTCTAAAGAAATTATTTGGAAATTAACTATGTGTCTTTATCATTGGTGAACTTTTTACTCTGAACATATCTCAAAATTTGAGTTTTAGGAAATAGACATATCTATTTAAGAAAATGGACAAAGAATTTACTCATTTTTGATCCTTCTCTTATAAGAACTGTTCTTTTTTTGTTAAAAATAAACTAATGGGAGAATAAATTCTTAATGTGATGTCGTTCATTGGTCTTAATCCTTAAGTATATTTTTTAAGCTATTTTTCTTTGGACAGGCATTAAAAGTCATCAGTTCCTTTTGATACATTTCGGTCACGGGTCCTATGAATTTATAATAGTGGTATTAAATTAACTTTGAACGAATTAAGGTTTTTTAAGACCATTTTATCGCTTAGAGTTCTGTATACGAAGGGAGGCCTGATGAATTACATTTGCTCTCTATTCAGTCTGGACTCTCTAAGACTGGAAATGTGCTCCGTAATGATTATGCTTAGTGTTTACGAAAGCAAGGAAAAATAAGTATAGTTTATTTCTCCTCACCACGAAGTCTAAAGCCGCCTACTGCTATGGAAACAAGAAATAGCGAATTTCAAAGAGGGGAGCTTCTTTCTCCCCTGGTTCCCTTTCTCTCGTCGCTCGAGCCAAAATCTGTCTTAAATTATGACCCAACTATACGATACTTGAAATAGTTAAACCTCGTAACCATAGTCACCTCAACTATTCCTGTCCAATAGCTAAGAGAGTTCTTTACATAGACAAACTATGCAAAATTCCTATTAAAGATCTTAAATTTGGGCTAAGCATTGAAGAGGTACATTTTTTGCTGCTTTTATTTCCTTAAATAATCACTTTGAACTGTGTCTATTTTCTTAAGCAATATTTGGAGCTTTAATCACAGCTCTTGGCATCATTTAGCTAAATTTGGCTAAATTTGTTCAAAATCCATTTTTCTTACGTTTATTTAGATTAAAACGTAATTAATTGTAACATCTTTAAAGTAGTTTGCAATGAAATTTTCCTTTTATTGATAATATAAAAGTTCTTATTTGAGATTATAAAATTTGCATACTTAATAAATTCCAACCTTTAATTGACTTATTAATTTGCATTCGTTAATTTGCATTCATTAATTGAGCTTTCAAAATTTACAAAATTTCATAATTTGAGGGCATATATATGCAGGATTCATCTTTACCAACTGAAATACCTTTAATTTCTTAGATAACTTTTTTACTCGTATGAATTACTTATTATGATGAATGTATGACTACTTATTTACTCGTATGCACGTGAATTATGAAAGACTTTGCGTGAATTATGCTTTATTGGTCTTTAGTGTAACAAGAACAAGCACTTGGGGTTAAAATACTTTTAAAAAAAGTAACAACCTTAATTTTTAAGACAGTTACATTATTTTTTAATTTTTAAAAGGATATAATTAATTGTTTCAAAAATACCAATATAAAACTTTAAAACTCTACAAATAATCCAAAAAATATTCTTTTCCTAGGTGATGAAAGAGTAAATGAACAGTTAATGTTAACAGTAATGCATACTCTATGGATGAGAGAACACAATCGAATCGCTGATATTTTGTCTCATATCAATCCTCATTGGGATGATGAAACTATTTACCAAGAAACAAGACACATCGTTGCAGCTGAATTACAACATATCACCTATAGTCAGTGGTTACCAATGCTTGTTGGGCGACAAGTAGTTGCAAAGTATGGCATCGAACCCCTTAAGCATGTGAGTAGTGAGTACATACCAGTTTTTGTTTCATTTTTCAAGAAGTTTTCGTTCCACTTTTTTATATGCAAGGTAAGACTTTGAATTTGTGGATTTTTTTAGCTCAATTACCCTTACAGAGAGGAAAAAAGTAAGTAAACTGTATTCTGAAACTCTGTTAAAAAAAACGGTTTTACAAATTGATTTATTCCGTGTTCTAAACTAATATTTTCGGTTTAAAACATGGTGTTGAGTATTCACTCACTGGCGGTCTTCACCCATTCATAGCCGTCTCATGGTTGTCTATCATACGTCAATGAAAACAACCACCATGATTCATGCAGTCGGCTCATGGCCGTCCATTTACCAGAAAGGTCATTATGATAAATTAGAAGCCCAAATCATCCCTTTAAAAGTTCATCATCAGATTCTGCCTATGGTTGGTTTGTAGATATAAAGATCATGCGCATATAGAAAGAAAATATCGATATATTTTATGACATGACATTTTTTAATGCTTAACCAAAATAGTTTCAAATTTGAACATTAATAATTTTAATGTTTTAACACATCGACATAGCTTTATTTTTTAATCAAAATTATTACAACTATATTTTCATACTGTTTCAAAATCAACGAAGAAGCTATTATGTTTCCAGTTTTGACTGTTAGACATTTCATTTGATGTTTTTTGGTGTCCATTTGGTAGACGTTCGCCAACATTCACCCCGTACCTTATATGCGTTATATCAACCATGATTATCTGCGAGATATCTGTATATCAATTGCTTCACAATCTATCAATCATGTAATTAACCATGTCTTATGCTCATACGACGCTTATAATGACCAATTACTAAATATGTGGCCACTCTTTTCTTTAAATAAACTGAAACCTCACAGGAAAGTAAAAGAAATTATCAATAAATTTCAGAATACAGTTATACAGTGTATACTTATTCATTGTAGTTTGTCTTTATACATTTTTATCTGTCGATTTTGCATTATCAAGCGTAATTTGATTTATGATATAAAGTATTTCTTTAATTATTATTTATTATTTATTTATATAAATTTTATGTTAGTGCTTTTTATTACGACACTCACTTTCTAGAAATCAATTTTGGTTAAATTGTATAATCTAAAATAATAATGTCTGATAAATATGCATTCTTTTTGCACAGCAGGAGTTAAATCTGCCATTAAAGAGCATTATTTAACTGAATTCTAAAAGAGAATAACCCATAAAACTCTATGTAAAATCTAAATTATCATGTGATAATATATAACTTTATTATTTTTACGCAGCTGAAACCAGTTTGCACCTGTTTATGTTCATATATCAATTGGTTAACATTGTAATGCAATACGTTAAAAATAAATACAAATAGGAGGCATATAAAAAATCTCCTGAATTACATATATGTCTAAATATAAAAGTACTGCATATGAACTCGTGCCAAAAATGTAATTATTAAAAAACTGCCAGTGCGTCTAATAATTTGATCTAATTATTCAAATATACTTATATAATACATGATATAATAAATATTCTATATTTATATAATATATCGTCTAATTTATCCACTCGTCAAATTTGTATTATATATCGCCTAATTTAACCAATTGATACTCGAACGTAAACAAGTGCAAACAGGTTACAGCTGCATCAAAGCAATAAAGTTGTATAGAATCACCTGATAATTAAGATTTTACCTAGAATCTTATAGTGCGTCTAACAATTTATCCACGAACTGTATGTATGGTTCATTGGTCTTAATCC